CACTTTTCATGTCTCCATGTACAATGTGTGCACAGTTGTCTTTGGTTTGTTTTTTTTTCTTCTAAAATCTACTGATGAATGTTTATATTCCAAGCAGGTTCTTCATCTAAATACAACTTAAAAGAATAAAAAAAAGCCCATGGTATTGTGGTAGTTGTGTATACAGAACATTTACTTAGACTGCTTTTCCTCAATTTGTTTGTCAATAAATATACTTTGTTCTTAGAAATGAACAACTGGAATTATTTTGAAGGATTTTGGTTTCTCAACTTATTATCTTAATATTTATAAGCATCTTCATTCATATAAACTATATGTCATCGTAATTTGTAACTTGTAATATGGAATGCACTGTGTGAGTGCTTTAATTTTCTGATGATTCTAAAGAGGCAGGGGATTGTGCTTGGAGGGAACATAGAAAAGCGTTTGTGTGAATCAGCACAGAACTGCATTGTTCTTGGCCTGAAGACTTTGGACTCTGTCCCCAAACCTGCTGTTGGATCTGTTACAGATCTGACTTGATTTGTCTTAAGAGCAGAAGGGTCTAAAATAAATGTAACAGGATGGCATATGGGAGAGGGGAACACTCAAGTGAATAGGAATAAAGTCTTTGTGAAGGTGGCCTCCTGTACCAACAGCTCTGTTTATTTTCTTACAAGTAGGAAAGCATTACTAGGAAAAAGAAAAACAGGAAAAAGTGTGTAATGGGTAGACCATGACAATAAACTTTAAGTTCTTTTTTTGTTGGTAACGTTCTTCTATGGCTTTGTCTTACACTATATTATGGCAGGTTGGCCCCTTATATTGATCCTATTTCCAATTTATGCTATTATAAATTCAACATGGATCTCATAATGAGCATTACTCCGTGCTTCATACGAGCTGCAAATTTTGTGTCGAATGCAATTGCTTGTGGTAGAGCAGTGTCTTTCAAGAGGATGTTCAGCGTTAATTTACAAACTTCAAGGGGTGTGATTACATTTAATTTGTGGGATCTTGCCTTACTAGCCTGCATATGAGGGCTTTTCATGGTAGAAGCTGTATTGGCAAAGTTATGCAAGTCAAGGGGGACTGATAAAATTAAGCAGCGCAGATGGGATGTTTGAGCCTCTGATATCTGCTAGAGAGGGCTAAAATCAGAGGGAGAGGGGTGTGGAGGTGGGTATGCCCCTGACTTCAGTCTCCATGTACTTAGGGTTAGTCTTGTTCCTTGCACTGTGTTTAGTGTCAGAAGATGAAAGAATTTGGTTTGTTTGCCTTTCTTTTGAAAATGTCTTGTAGTTTTGCCTTAGGTTTTTCCCTTTTTATATGAGATGTTGTCTTTTCAGCCTGTTTTGAACTCCTTTAATTTTGAGTTAATAAGTTAACACCGTTAACCTTAATTTGTTTCCTGATCCTTCAAAGTTAGCATTTAAAATAAGCCTTGGGCTCGGCAGTTTCTTGTTCACTGTAATCTTAACAGAAAAAGAAAGCAGCCAGGTTATGTACCTTTCCCATGGGAAGTTTTTTTAATGTATAGGATTTGTATTTAAAAGATCTGTCCTATACAGTTACTTAACATATGGGTTGCAATTGTTTCTGTCTTGGTCAGGGTGGAGAAGCAGCTTTTCAGCTGCTGGTTGATACATTCCAGTATTAATACCAGCTGCCGAAGAACAAACCTTTTTGATAGAGTATGGGAGAAAAAATTTCATTTGGGGTAAGCTAGCTACACTGACCAAGGATAAAAGGGTCCCTTTTATATGTATAGAGTGCTCAGAACACCTGGAATCCAAAGTCCTACTTCTGTACTGTGATTTTTAGCATTTTATGGATTTTACTGCGGAGTGTGGGATAACTTAAAGCTGCTATGGCTGAGGTAATCTTGATGATGCAGGGAGTTGTAATCTTTCAGATGTCCAAAGTTACCTGAACGTGTCTGACTCCGCTCTCACTGTGAAGTAACTGGACACAGAATCTTATGTACTGTACAAGAAGATATTATATACCATATAGACTACATATGCTGCCCATATAGAGGTGAAAACACCAGTGGCAGTAACATGTAGAATAATAGAAAAATGTAGATGGGAAGGGACCTCTGGAGATTGAGAAGCTCTATTTTCCACTTTAACTTCAAAGTCAAATCAGGTTGCTCAGGGCCTTGCTGAGTCAAATTTTTAAATTCTCCAAGGTTGTTTGGAGATGCAATTAAACCTCCATCCTGTTCCATTGCTCAACCACCCTCATGGTGAGGAGTTTCCTTATATCTATTTGGGATTTCCCTTGCAGTATCGTGTGACTGTTGCCTGTTAAGCTTTTGCTGTGCTTGCCTGAGAAGAATCTGCCTCCACCCTTTGTATAATGCCCCATTACACAGGTGAAGGCAGTAGTGGACTTCTTTTCTTCACCAGACTGAACAAACCCAACTCCCTCATCATGTCTTTCATCTCATGTGTCAGCCCTTTTGCTATTTTAATGGGCTTCATCTGGATGTGCTCCAGCTTGCCAGTACCTCCCATGCTGCATGACCCAAAACTGTACAGTACTCTAAATGTGGCTTCACCAGTGCCAAGCAGAAGGGAATAATTACTTCCCTTGACCTGCTGTTTATGCTCTTGCTTATGCAGCTCAAACTACAGTTAGTTTTCATCACTTTAAGGGTGGACTGCTGGCTTATGTTCAACTTGCTGTCAGCTAGAGTCTCCAAATCCTTTCTGCAGAGCTGCTGCCTGTCCAGTCTGCAGCTGTAATGCTGTATAGGGTTTTTTCCTTCCCAAATGCAGGACACTTCACCTTTGTCTTTGTTCAACTTTATAAAGTTTCTGTTGGTCACTTCCTCCAGTTTGTTGAAATCCCTATTAATGGTGGTCCTGCCCTCCAACATGTTGACTGCTTGCCCTGTTATATATCATCTGTAAATTTGCTGAGGATTCTTTCTGTCCTAGCATCCAAATCCGATGAAGATGTTGCCCAGTATTGACCACTGAGGAATATTGCGTCTAACCAGCTGTCAGTTAGACTTAGTTATTGACTGCAATTCTTTGAACCTCGTGGCCCAAGGAATTTTGTCCACTTTGTATGCCCATGGATCCTCAGTTTGACAGCCAGGATGCTATGGAAGATAGTGCTAGAAGCTGTGCTTAAGTCAAAGCAACTGGCAACCACCGATTCTCCATGGTCCTTGGAGTCACTTACTTTTTCAGAAGGCAGTCAGGTTGGTTGTCCGCGGTTTTCTTTTAGAAGTTTGTTGTCTGATCCCAGGCACGTTTCTGTTCATCATGCCTGGAAAGAGGTTCCCTTTAGGACACGCTGTACGTTTTGTACAGCAAATCAGGTGAGACTGACTACTATCTAGTTTCCTGCGTCCTCTATCCTTTCCTGCCCCCACCTTGCTTTTCTGTTGGGCTTTGTTTGCTTGGTTTTAGGTTACCTGCTTCCTGTCACAGGCAATCACCAGGACTTTCAAAGATAGATAGCCAGCAGCCTTCCAGTGACATCAGCTAGCTATCTCAGTACCGTGGATGTTTCCTATCCGGTCCTATGTACTTATGTAGGTACTTACCTAAATAATCTTAACTTGATAGTTCCTCTCCCTCAATCTTTGTTACTAGATGCAGAAACCTGGGAAGCCTGATACCTTACTGGTAAAGACCATGCCCAAGGTGTTGGGTACCTCAACTTTTTCTGTACCTTTCATCACTAGGTTGCTTCTCAATTTAGCACCTGAATTACACTTTCCCGGTCTGACTTTTGCTGATGGTGTACCTGTAAAAGGGTTCATTCTTGCCTTTCACATCCATCTTCAATATCAACTCCAGATAAGCTTTGGCCTCCCTAATTTAGTCTCTTCTGGACCAGATACTACATCTATATTCTCTTCTGGTTGCCTGTCTCTGCTTATACTTGACATATGTTTCTGATTCCTTTGAGCTCAGTCAGTGGGGAGTCCCATGTACTGCTACTGGCCCCAGCTGGCTTCCTGCTGTGCCTGCTGATTTTTCTTGCATGTTGGGAAGGTTTGTTTTTGTGCTCTGAGAAGAGAGTCCAGGAGGATGACTGGCTTTCATGGGCACCTTTGTAGCTTCCCAGGGCATTCTGCTTACTGTTCCCTGACCAAGCCCCAACTCTACTGTTGTGAGTCCAGAGTCTTCAGTCTGCTTCTTTCCTTCCTTTCTTTACTCAAGATCTTACGCTACCGTTTCACAATTACTTCATCCAAGGCTGCTGTTGGCTGTCATATGCATGAGCAGTTCTTCTTTATTCATGAGTACCAGGTCTTGTGCAACCCCTCCCCTAGAAACCTGTTCAGTGCTAGCATCAAAAATTGCTCCCAGTGCCTGCGAGAAATTCCCTGGATATTTCACACCCTGCTACACTGCCCTTCCAGTAGATGTTGTATCATTTAAGTCCTCCATGAGAACAAGGGGCTCTGAATATTGGAAAACCAGCCTAGGATGATGTTCCATTTATTATAGTAATTGAAAATGAGTTTTCCTTAACTAGTTGTATTGAACTACAAGAAACTGCTGCAAAGATATACATATGATATTTTGATTTTTATTTTGAAATTGAACACTTAATTTTCTATTAATTTTGAATTACTATTTTGGTGCACTCACTAATTCAGCTGATGTCCGCAGTGCAGCTGATGAACTGAAATAACCTGGTTTTATATAGTATAGACACTTTGGTATCGACAATAGTTGTTCATAACTAATGAATTTGCAAGTGATCAGAATGTGGGGTTTTTTCTCTGTAAGATTTCTCATTTCTAATTACCCTGAGGTAGTTGATGTGCAACTACATGAAATATTGCTTCAGATTGCAGTGAATGGTTGTCTTACATTGAGGCCATCCAAATAATACTTGCATGTATATATGTGCCAGAAACAAGTCCTCATCCTCTTTTTTTTTTTTTTTAAGTGACTAATAAGAGAAGATATTGTTGATTCATCATTATTGGTTTTTTTTTTTCTTAGTAATTGGTGACAGTGCGCTTCTTAATCTGTTTTAGTTGGAAGATGGGGAAGAAGAGCCGAGTGAAAACTCAGAAGTCGGGTACAGGAGCCACAGCAACGGTATCTCCAAAGGAGATGTTAAATCTAATTAGTGAGTTATTGCAAAGTAAGTTTCATTTTTATGCCTGTCTGGGAAAAGGGATGGTGTGCATGCCACTCAAAAGCAGTCTCTTGTTGAAGCCAGTGAATTCTATCCGTTTCCTCTAAGTGGCCAAGCTTGCTATTCGGCCTGCTTAACATAGTATAGAATGTATCTCATAATATCTATCTCTGTTACTGTATACTATTATTGGCATATTTAAATGTGTATGTATTGGACATACTGTATTTCTGGCAGCTTTTGGCTTTACATCTCAACACAAGCATAAACACTGGGTTTTTAGGTTACAAAAAACATACTATAGATAACTTGACTGTGACACTTTGTAAAAAATGTTTTTCTTGTAAACTTCAAGAATTGCACTATTTCTGTTTATCATTTGAACTGTACTTTGAAGAGATATCAGAGTAGAGAAATTAGCTGTGGAAAGCAGCAATACAACTCAGTTCAACTGGACTGATATTTTTGTTGCTTAAATTAAAAAAAAAAAAATGTTGCTGTTTGGAAACTTTCTGTAGTGCTTTTTACTTTTGTATAGACCAAAGGTTGTTTTATGTGTTGAGGAATTTGGAACACAGCCGTTATTTCTAGTAAATATGAAAAGCAGAGCGTGATTTCACACAATGATGCTAAAATACTGTTCACTTTTTCTACTGTCATTAGTAACTGTGCTGAGCTACTCTTTTTGTTGAAACACAAGTCCAAATTTTCATATCCTGGACACATCTAAATATTGCATTAGAAAATCAGAATTTTTCTTGAGCATTGCTCACAAAGAGGAGACGAGGAGTTGGCAGAGCTGTTTGATGCTTATGCTACAATTGGCCTCTGCTTTGCTACCAAAAATAAAACGTAGATCTAATTTTCTAAGCAAAGAGACATATCAGCTGTTCTTTTTGTCAAGCTTCCATATTTTATTCAACGCAAAGATTTCTCAAATCAGTTGAGCAAGGTAATCTTCAGCTGTCCACTTGGATTTATGCGGCTTAGATCAAGAAATCCACACACTGGCATTTAGCATTTAGCATATCGTCAGAGACACTGTGGATATAATCTAAAGCTAAAGCTTGGCTAAGTGTTCCTTTGCTTGTCCTTCCAGTACTCATGCATCTATGAAAGCTGTATTGACTAGGCAGGTCAAATGTATGTACCAGCAAATTTCGCAGTTACTTAAGGTAAGGTCTGTGCTATTATCATCTGCTTTCATTACAGCAAGAATGATGGCAAGCAGGCTAATGTAAACAGAGTGTTTCGCTTGGATTATTGAAAACAGGCTTTTTTTATTTGTCTTATCTGAGAGACTGTCTGCTTAATGATTTGATTGTTTATGTTTTTTTCTTCCTAGCTTTTTAAACATTTGATATTTCTTAAAACTGAAAGAATATTAAAAAAATGAGGCAGGTTATACTGTGAAAATTTAAAAAGTATCTATTAATTGCATGTTAAAGAATGGGATGTTTATAACAATGGAGATGATGGTGTTTACCATGTAGACATGCTTGAAGGACAAGTACTACTCAGGTTCAGTTAAAGTTGCTGTGAAACCATGACCTTTTCTCCGATGTTAAAATATATATGTGCACACACTGTATTAAAGAAAACATTTTCACTTGGTATTTTTATTTCCAGAATGCAGCAGTCCTACGCCAGGTCCTGGTAAGGAATGGGAAGAATATGTACAGATTCGCTCACTTGTCGAGAAAATTCGCAAAAAGCAAAAAGGTAAATGTGAAAGACTGTAAGAGAAGGTGGCTCCGAGTATTGATTTACCTAAAAAATTGTCTATTGACAGCTAAAAGGAATATTTTCTTTGTTGTTATTATATCAGTTTCATGCAATTGTGTTATATTTGGATAAAAATCTTACTTCTGATATGCAGTTGCTTTTTACACTTGCAAGTGTTTCTGAAATGTTCTGGTGGGCATGACTACTGGCATTAACCATTTTAATACTTATAATTCTGAGTGAATATCACAGACAAGTGATCCTGTGATAATTCTGTTTGGTAAGTAGAAAAAAGAGCTTGAGATTGTCATCTCATCCCAATCTGAAGGACTGGAAGTAAAAATTGTTTGAGAATATAGGCCTTTTTGATTCCTGATGGCATAGTCTGCTCCTCTGCCTCTAGAAATCTGAACATTTTGAATTTAGTTTTATAACTATTTTATTTTAACCTGAACACTTTACTGGACATGGAAACAGTTTCTGCAATTCAACACCATGACACTAAATTATGAGGGGGGAGAAAAAAAGTACAAAATAAATTCATGAGCTATCTATCTGCTGTAAATCAAGCATATAATTAAAATAAAGAAATGCTTCTGGTACCACAGTTAATATGGAGTTTTATTGCTAATTTTCCTAAATTTAAGGTATACATATTTTTCAGATTAGAACACTTTTCTTCTGGTATGTTCTGCAACAAATCAATGTTGTGGATACTTTATTTTCATAGTAGCTTTGGTTTTATTTGGAGGTATGCTCTAAAAAATGCTTTTTATGTAATTTTAGTAAAAGTAATCTTTTTTGACTATTGTATTTTAATGGCAGAGGAATAACAGTTCTTTCTTCTGATATTTACATGGAGACGGTAAGAAAGCCAGACTGCATTTAAAGTGGAGCTTGACTTGAAAAAGCAGAAGACTGTATGTAGAGGCTTAAAATGTCCTTTTCATACCTTTTAAAAATAATTTTGACTAAAACATAAGAATCTTTTGTCGTGAAAGGACTTATAAATCTCTAAACTTCAGTTATTGGCAGAGGGCATATGGAAGAATACATGATACTGTTTGAGTGACTACATCCTGTAGCTCTGTAGAGGAGAACTTGATTTGTTGTTTTGCTGTCCTGTGACTTCTATAAACGTATGGTACGTGGCCTGGGTTTTATGATGTAATACCTGTATTATGGTAAAACATAATTCAGGTTAGCAAGAACAGAGTCGGCGTCGGGGTTGGGCTGTACTCTGTATCTTCTGAGCCAGCAGCATCGAAACATTCATGGGGAAGACGGCTGCTGGTGGAAGTGGTAGAAATAGTATAATGGTATTATCTCAATAGAGCTTTTTTTTTTTTCCTTGAAAGATGCAAAACCTACTAACTAAAGCACTGTTGACATACAAATAGCCTTTAATGTAACATTTTTACATACATTGTGAGTATGAATAGTATGGTGTTTTTCAAAAGTATTTCTACTGGAACATAGTAATTTATACTACACAATTTTCTAGCTTAATGAGAGCTTTAAACAATTAGCAAAGGAAGTATAAATTGCTCTGGGGAACTTCTGTACAATTGAATATATATTGCCTGAAGTGTCATACTTTGTGCTTTTCTTGAATAAAACACTGGGTTGCAAAACATGAACTAAAATGATATTGATTATAGAAAACTCTTAATTTTAAAACTGAGTTTACTTTCTAAATTTTTTCCTTGTTTGACTCATTACCAAAATTCTAAATAAAGCTAATTTTTCAATATAGATTTTCATCAGTATAACTATATATTTTTCAGTATAAAAATAAATTGTTCCCCGATAATGCTTGTAATTTAAAGGAGTTGCTGTTCTCTTTAATTTGGAAAAATGTGAGAAGTATTGGACCATGTCATATATGAGGAACAGAGGTAGAGTTTCAGAGATGCTTACAGAATGGTTCCAAATACAATCTGGATGTTAAAAGCTTCCAGTAGCATTATACAGCAGTCAGAGTTGGAAATAAAAAGAGCAAAGTCCTGGACAGTATAAACATCTATGAAGTTCTATAGAAGCTATGCAACTAGTCTTACTAGATTTGTGACACCTTAGCTCTACATATATTCCACAGAAAATAGCATACTGAAGGGAGTATGAAATAAAGGAGAAATGCCAGCTTTTATGAAAAAAAAAAAAAAAGCCAGACCACTGTGCACCACATTCTCATTACATTCAAAAAAATACTTTATGAATATCAAGTTTTTATACTGCATCACCGAAGACTATTGTTTTCAATGATACTTGTGCTTTTACGTTAACTACAGATTTGATCGGTTCTGGGGCTTGTCAAGCCATGTGTGATTTAGGGGGGGAATATTTAAAATACACTAATGCTACTTTCTTAAAATCCTTTTAATCTAAAGATGTATTTATCACTTGTGCTTAACCAAAATGTCTTTGAATGTAAGCATCTAGCTGATGACATTTTGTCACTCAAAAAATGGCCTGAGCATTTCAGGGGCGATTGGACACTTTTAACTTGATCTGACACTAGTGTTTGGGCGAGGAGGTAGGAAAGGAGCTGTCTGAGTGTAGCCGGGGACTGTAATGCATAGGTTCAAATCGGATGACAGTAAAGGGGAAAGCTGAGGAAATGAAGCAGACTTGCGGTTTCACCAGTGGACCATGTGCCTGTTGGAGAAGCAAAATGTAAAAATTTGGGCGAGCTCCGTGATGTCAGGAGAATGAGCAGTCCTTAGTTATTTTAGTAGCTTTTTCCTGTAGCATACGGATCTAACTGCCTTGCATGTGAGAGAAGAAGCTTGAGATCTGCTTATCATCATTTCCAGTGCTGAATTAATGAAATTGCAGCTTGCCTCTCAAATTCCTCCTTCTGGCTCTATTAACGCATTGTGGTGATTGCATTTATCATCAAGATTAAGCTGGGAAATATTTTTGCTCAGCTTACTTAAAAGCGGAAGAGGAGGGGAGCTTCATATTTCATTACAGCTCAGTTTAGGTGGTTGTTTTCAAGATGACTGGTAAGCCAATTTGGCAGAATATTTAAGTTGATGAAAATTGGGTATGACATTCGTATACTATTGAGTAATACTTAACAAAGACCAGTTCTGACTCAGCTACTTCAAAGTAGAACTGCTGTGGGATAGCAGATAGCTTCTTACATACGGTTTTATATTGAACTTCTTGATCGTTCTGGATCTTCTTATTTTCTGCATTTGTTTTTTAATAAATTCTGTATATAGGTTTGTCTGTTCTCTTTGATGGAAAGAGAGATGACTATTTCCCTGAATTGATAAAGTGGGCAACTGAAAATGGAGCATCCACAGAGGGTTTTGAAATAGCTAACTTTGAAGAGGAGGGGTTTGGTTTGAAAGCAACAAGAGAGATAAAGGTGAGCATGTGAACATTTGACTTAGATTAGAAAATTGTGTTTGGAATGTAGCTGCAGAGCTCCAAAACACTTTTGACTGCTCATGAAACTGCTGTTCTGAAATGCTCTCAACTCTGCATACTTGAGAAATAAACTTAGTGATAAAATTGAGTACTATTTTTGATGACTATTGGATAGTACTGTGAATTTTTAATTGGTCTTTTTTTTTCCCCTCTGTGTTGCCTATACTGTTTACCTAATCGCCAGAGATGTATCCCTCTTCCATGTTTTCTAACTACTTAGTCTCTTATCCTCTTCTTTCATGTCCCTTCTTTTAAAGCACTGGTCTTTTTGCCTCAGAAAGAGGTATTTGCAATACTGATTTTCCAGTGAAAATGAAAAAAAAACAAAATTACCTGATAATTGTAAAGAATATCTTCTGATCATCAGGTAAGGGATACAGGCACACACAGTTAGCTAACTGTTAAAAAGCAAGCATTTAAGATTGCCCCTTTCCGTTCCCATTTTACAGATGGGAAACAGCTTTGAACAACAATCATCTGTTACAGAAAGAATATTGGAAAATGAACATTTTCTATTCATTTTAGGGCTTTAGTAGCTAGCAGCACTGGTTGATAAAAATCCTGAACAGTTCTTCTAAAATAAATGGGCAATGTGGAAAAAACTCTACTGGGAGAAAATATTTGATCACATAATTAATAGCGATATAATGTACCAGTATAATAGTAGCTTTGAGGTTGTGTGGGCAGTCTACATGTTAGCGGTTCCAAACTGAAGCAATTTATTTTGTAATCTAAGAGTCTTTGTTTTAAGCTTTGTGTAATGCAGATTGGGACATTTGGTTACCGCAACATGAAACATGTTATGTTTGGTTAATTTGCAGTGGAAAAGAAGGAAGAATTCTGATTCAGAATAATTTTTATTAAAAAAAAATAATAAAACAACCTGTAATTTAAAGAGGATGTATATTTGAGACATTTGGCATATCATATAAATGCTAACTGACCCTTTATGCATTTTTTTTCTTTCTGTAGGCTGAAGAGTTGTTCCTGTGGGTTCCTAGAAAACTTCTGATGACTGTTGAGTCAGCTAAAAATTCAGTATTAGGTAAGACCTTAAGGAAGTTCTCAAGCAAGAAGTTGATATGCATGGGATCGTTCAATAGGAGACTTTCTTTTTTTGAGCTGATCTCCTTTATTACAGGACTTGCATTTGGAATACCTAGAAGCTTTAAGTGTCAGTGGAAAGAATTTAATTTTCCTCTTTGTTTCTGGCTGAGCGCACTAGATATCTTCTAGCAGCGTGTGTGTTATTTTGAACACATATCATGTAGCTTGTATAACACTTGGAGATAAAATGTTCTGAGGTACTGAGAGCGTTGTTCCAGTTTCTTCATGTCTTCCATCATGCAATTGCACAAGAGGATTTTACTGTGTCAACTAACTTGCAGCATAATACAATGTGGGCAGCTAAATATTTTAGAAACCCGAAAAGCCTTTTTTTGTTGAAAATTCTTACATGTTATCTCATCGTGTTCATTTAAAGTAAATCTAGGATGATATTTTCCATGGTCAATTAATTTAGTGCCTCAACTTTCTGGGTTAATTTAGGATCCCTGTATTCTCAAGATCGAATTCTTCAAGCCATGGGCAATATAACATTGGCATTCCATCTTCTTTGTGAGCGAGCCAACCCCAACTCTTTCTGGCTGCCCTACATCCAAACGCTCCCCAGTGAATATGATACTCCTCTCTATTTTGAAGAAGATGAAGTGCAGTATCTTCAGTCAACTCAGGCCATACATGATGTTTTTAGCCAATATAAAAATACAGCTCGACAGTATGCCTACTTTTACAAAGTTATTCAGGTAAGCTTCTTAAATGTAGTATATAGTATATGTTGCTCTCATGATTTTTGAGGAAGGTGTGAAAACAGTGATGCTAAATAATAGAGCAAGTGTATTGCTCTTAAAGGTTTGAATCATTAAAGCAATTTCCTGCTGTTTTTTGAACCTCTGTTAAAATTTCACAGTTCAGTAGGTTTATGAATATCTAAGAATGTATTTAGTTGGTTGAGAGGAGGGATTACTGCCCTCTGTTTGGCATTGGGTGAGGCTTCAACTGGAATACTGTACAGTTTTGGGCTCACTGGTACAAGAGACATATTGACAAACTGGAATGAGATCAGAGGAGGGCTATTAAGATGTCACTTGCTTCAGCCCTTCATCCATCCAAGGAGAGACTGAGGGAGCTGGATTTGTTGTTCTGGGGAAAAGGAGATAAGGGATGATGCAATTACTGTTTTCAACTTGCTACTGGTAGCCAGACTCTAGAAGTTTGCCTGTGGGAAGCTGGGCTAGATGACCTGCAGAGATCTACAACCTGTGCCTCTAGGACTCTTTGAAAAATGTATAGTTTGCAGTAAACAAAGTAAAATTATAATTGTTAATTGACATAGTATAAAACTGTTGCATATGTTGTATTTCCAGGGACCATGGATTAGCTGTTGCTTTCTATTCTATTTAACATAATTATTTTGATTGCTTTCAAACACAATGATAAACCCATCTGGTAACAATTTGAGTAAGGGAAGGCTTGAGGTGGGTGAACTTTTCATCATATTCTGAAGTAATGATTTAAATTGAGTTTCTAAGACAGAACTGTTACTCTGAGTCATGTCTAGACATAATTGATGTTGTAAGTGAGTGGTGATGTATTGTTGTCAAGGTAGTGCTCAATGTCCAAACATTCAGAGCTTTTTGTGGCACAATCTGTGTAAAAAAGCATGAGACTATGTACTGAATTTCCACAATTGCATGATCTCAAGGTATTTTTTTGGGCCATAGGGGAGGTTGGAAGACATAAAGCAATTCTATTGTTCTTTAACATTAACAGAGTTCCAAAGCTTTTCTATTAACTATTTTAAGTCAACAAAAGTTAAATTTTGCTTAGCTGTTTAGTGTTTGAAGAATTTTGTACGTTTTGAACAGTATCTATTTACCAAGTATAAGAAGCAGGCGGATATGTTTTGAAAACTAAAGTCATTGAAAATAGTGGGTGAAAACCAAATAAGATGCACTTCATTTTGAGGCAGGGAGTAGTGTAGGAACAATGGCTTTAATATCGGGAAGGAACAAAATGCTTCCTTTCAGGTGTCACAATGCAGGAAATTACAGTTTAGCCGACTCTCTTGTCTTGCCATGTGCTTTTCTGTGCTGCCAGTCCACACGTGACCTGCCAGCTTTTCACTTTTTTTCCTCAAAGTGTACTGCCTGAGCAAACGGAACTCCTAAATTTTATTTCGTTAGAATATCTTTTTACCCCTAAATAGTTCTACTGTTTTTAAAGAGTTATTAGCAGGTTATAGTGTAATGTTCCCCAACTCTTCCAACTGCTAGTCATGCTCTTGTAGTACTTAATCAGACAGCTAAACTATCCTTATGACTAGTTCCATCATTTTCCTTGACTAATCCTGTACTGGTAATATTATGTGAGAGGTTATATAGTCACAACATTAATTAAAAAAAAAAAAACCAAACTGAAATACAGTTTTACAGAGAAATGAGATCTGGAATGACACTCTATTTTGACTGCCGTGTGTCCAGTATTTCAGAACTGCTTCTCAGTGATTGATGAATACATGTAGACTGATATTAAAGTCATGAAAGCACAGCTAAAGAATGTATGTAAAATACAGTGGTGTAACATCAGTTGAAGCACGAGATATCTATTATGTGAAAAGCAGCTTCAATGTTTGACAATACATTTTTTGTTTATTAAAGTTTCATGTGGCACATAATCTGTTTAAGGATGGCAAACGCACACTATTTCTCTTACTGCCTCTTAAATGCTATACAGATGATCTTTGATTAGCTTTAAACTAATGTGGTCAAAGTAATGTCTCACTAAAAAATAATTTATATTCTGCATCAAAGTCCGTGCTGGTGACTGTTAAGAGTAAGAAAAGCTACAATTTGAGCAAAGAAAATAATGTACGTGAGATGACTTTAGGGGCAGACTGTCTTTAGAACCCCAATGATGGTGATGTGCTGTACATGGTAACAAGGCATGTTACCAATACTCTGCACTGTTGCATTTTCTGTTTTATACTTGAAATTTTATGGAAGCTGATATGGCAGCTCATGGAGGAAGACTTCTCAGTCAGATATTGTTGAGACTGATTCAGTTCAGTTTGATATGTAGGAATGGAAAACCTTTGTGGAAATAGCGTTTAAATAAATGGCAGTCTTCTCTTTTTGAGCTTTATATTAGTATACCCGAGAAAGTATTTAGTACTGTACTGTTGCCTTTTGGATGAATTGTTAAAATGTAGGTTTTGGTCACTTGTGATCAGAAATATAGACCAGGTTTTTTGGTTTGTGTTTTTTTTTTTATTATTTATTCTCCTGAAAAATGCTTTTACTGTATGTTCTTGTATAATATAGCTGCTGTTTCATGTTGAATGTGAGCATGAAGGTAGATCAGGTAGGAATAATTTGCTTTATTTGTTCTTTGGAGAATAAGTCGTAATAAACATTAGGTAGATTTTAGGTGTGTTCTGGTTGTTTGGTGCGATGGTTCAGCACTGCCACGTAACCGTAATTTCAGCTGAATGTTTCATTAGTATTCAGTAAATGTCACATTAGGAAGATACGTAATTTCAACTGGCTCCAGCAGTACCAGGTAAATGTACTGGCTACCTATTATTAATGCTTTTGATGAAAACTCATGGAAAAGTTTTTTAAAACTTTGAGTTCTGTTTCTGCTGTCAAAAATAAGAGCTTCTAATTTATGAAAGAGTGAAGAAAGAGTTCACTAAAAAAAAAAGCCTCTTTCTTCCCTAAAACAAAGTACTATTTTTCATTATTCAGAAAAGCTGAAATGAATTTTAGTATCTTGCATGCACTCATATCATTTTATGAACAAAGTTGACCACAAAATACTAGTGCTAAGGGTAGTGTTTTTGGAAATTCATGAGCATATGGAAAAGGGAGGAAGAGGTGGGGAGAGAAAAATTCATCATATAAATGAAAAAAGCAAAGCAAAACCACTTTCCTACGAAAGGCAGTACACTCTGCAAGCTTCGTGAAAGTGAAAGTTACATTTTTGTATACCATCATTTCATTCAATACTACTACTCTTTTAGCATAAGCACTTTTATGAAAGCTGGCCTGTGTGACCAGGATTTTGATGCAGCTTCAAGTATGCAGACTAATTTATTATTTTTTTTTATTTACAAATATACTTTTTGTAGTACAAAAATCTGATATTTACTTTTTTAATAGCTATTCTACTGCAGGCATTAAAACAAGTAGCGTCTTGGAAAAAAAGTGTTTTGTTGATATTTGAAGACACTGAAAAAGGGAATATTTTGTGCAGGCAAAATATTTTAATTCCTTTGCAGCATTTTTAGTCTGCCAAATGTTTCTAATGGCCGGGGAAATAAAAGGGTTAACAAATCATTTATTCAAATGCTTCATTTTGTTTTCCAAGAGGATTGCTAGACTGTTAGTAAAATAATTTGGCTTCTGATAGGTGTGCAGTTTTAAACAATTTGACAAGCTCTGGTCTGTTTTACTTCCCTAGCTTCTCGGTAAGGGTGGCTTTCTCAGAACGCTGGGGTTCTAACTCTCTCCAAGTGCTTAGTCTGGATACACATGAAGAATGGGCAGATTTATGCATTTCACAGCTGTTGCAAGCTAAACTGGAGTCTGGTTTGATAAGCAGAAACAGGTGGGATGTTGAGTAGACAAAAATAAACCCTTGAGCATGTTAGCCAGGCTCTATAAACCACACTGACACCTTTCTAAACATATGTAATTTGATAACTAAAAAATAGTTGTAAGTTCTTACAGATGTACTTTAAAGGCGTATTTGGCCTCTGCGTTGCTATCAAAATACAGCAAATGGTCAAAAACGTACTTTCATTGCACCAGACTTGTAGTTTTCAAGATGTTTTTGTAGTTTGTTCCAGAGAAGTTTTGTAAACTGCAGGGTCTTCTTTTCCCCTAGAAGGTATGCCTGTGACTTCCATTAACATTTATGGGCATCGCATGCCTACTGAAGGGTGAACGGAGCCCAAATATTTATGACTTAATGTTAAACTTTTTTCTGTACACTGAAATGTGGTATAATAAGCACAAGAGGGAGCCATATAGTTTGCAGACATTCACGGTGAGATTTTATTCCTAAAGAAAATACAACCAAGTTTGAACCTTTTTTAAAAGAATATGCAGTGGTCTTTGTGTTTGACTCTTGGTTGCATCTGGGTGCCTGTTTGTAGTCTACTGCAGAGAAGTTTTTGCAAATCAAAATAAGACATCAAGACAAGGAGTGCTCTTGGAGAAGGTGGAAGTGCCCAAACTCTATTTACATTTTGCTCACTGTGCATCTGAAACAGTGTTGTATCTTTCCCCCGTGTATAGTAAAGGCTGTTATTAGCTGCCTTACTAAAAGACAATTCTATGGTCATTTTAGTGAACTTTTAAAATCTCTTAAGCGGTAGGTCTGAAACTAGCAGAGCCCGTTAGCTAGCCATAGCTTTTGCCACGGTAGTCAGCTGTATGCATTCAGTGGCAGTCTAGGTGTAAGTCATGTCTGGGTGGAGCCGCTTCTCATGTGCTGGAAAAAGCCTGTCAGCTTCACTTCGATCCCTGGGAAGGTGTCACCCAGTGGGACCTCGACAGGCTGGAGAAATGGGCTGACAGTTGAAGAACCTCAGCAAGAAGGGCAAAGTCCTGCACCTGGGGTGGAATAATCCCACGAATATGTTGGGGGCCAAGCTGAATATGAGCCAGCAATGTGCCCTTGCAGCAAGAAGGGCTAACAGCATCCTGCCCTGCATTAGGGGAAGTATTGCCAGCAGGTC